TTTGGTGGCGTGGCAAACAGAGACAATCCCATCAACAAGAGATTTTTTAGTGTGGAGAAATTTTTAATTGTGACGGGAACACAGGTGATATACCTAGGGTGGGCAAACGGGTCCTGGACCCGTGGGTCGGGGCGGGTCCAAAAATTCGAAACACAAAACGGGGTGGGTTTATGAAATTAACGGGGCTGGGTGGGTCCAAAAATAAGAAGGAACGAGCCCCCGGCCAGGCCCGTATGTAGCATATGGGATAATGGATTTGATTAGTGTGACGCCGTGTCCCTCGACTTACAAGGTTGCCCACCAAATAGGACCAAATTTAGAAGGCCCTTAAGGTCTCTGGAACCATCCTCTCAGAGCATTTTTATTTTTATATGATTTAATTAAAGGGAATTTTAATGAAAAGCCCACGGTACTATTCACTTTATTGAAAAATCACATTTTTACACTAAAAAGTCAAACATGCTACTATTCACTTTACCTTTTATTTTGTCCTTATCGTTAAAACTCAAAGTTTTCAAACCCTTTTCATTAGTTTTCCTTTAATTAAATCCCCTCATCTCAGACTCCTAGACTCCCCCACTTTCTTTCTCCATTTCTCAACTTTCTTGTTCTTTTCTCCCCCCAACCCTTTAATCGACCGTCACGACATCACATCAGCCACCACACGAGTCACGGTATCACCTCACCATCGTTCTTAAACCTAGAAACCTTTCTGAGAGTGACTTAGTTGATTCGAATTCGACTACGTCGACATCTCACAACAACTAGCCACCACGAGATTACGTGACACGCCCCGATCCCGATGTCCTAGGGACAAAGGGATGGTCACGTGCTGGTCGACACCCGAAGGGTGACGAAAGCCATTTATTGAGTACAAATGCTGACAACAAGGGATAGATCAGACTTATAAATATAAGAGAATAAAGAATATGTATTTAAGGAACGTGTTCAGAGCACACATCTAATCTAGAACATTAAAAGAATTAATATAAAAATTGAATGAACACAGAAGTGGGTCCTACACCGAGAGGACTCGAAGATACCGATGCGGAAGTGCCTGGATGCCGGGATTGTATGCCTCGATTCTAAATCCTGAAGGGGGCGCAAAACAAACATGAGTGGACCAAGTTGATATATATATAATAAAACAGTTATCAACGTACTAACCCCCAGGTTTTATGAAAACACATATATAATGATAAACATAGGTTTTCTGAAACCTAGCATGATGTGCAGTATCTCAAATCATAACTCATATATAATAATCACTAGTGAATTGTCCGATAACCCCCAGGCCCCATGCCGGCTCCCCGTCTCTGAGCAGACAGTCAGAGGAAAATACACTTCAGGCCCCATGCCGGCTCCCCGTCTCTGTGCTAAATAGCCAGAGGAAACACACTTCAGGCCCTATGCCAACACCAAACCGTCGCCCGGGACGGACCGGAATCTATCCCTACGTCCCGTAGCGGAAAGGACCACTAGGTAAGTACAAACCATTGAACATATATATATTGAAAAACAACTTCATAGTATAAAGTCATCCATCATCTATACTATAAAGAGGTGATCGAAACATGTTCTAAATATCATATCGTCATCCATCGGATATTCTATAAGAACATGGGTTATAGGAAAAATAGTAATAATTCAAACTAGCCTTAGTAAGCATGTTATCTCACAAAACGTTTCATAAAACGTAATCATCAAATCATGCTTTTTATGTATGCATTTCTACTATAAAACATGCATTTTAGAAGGGGTCCACTCACAGTACTTAGCCGTCGAAGAGCCACGCAAACTAGCAACCACGAAAACGTCACCAATATTGCCCCTAAGCACATAAAGGGTCCAATTAATAAAACTCTATTATAACAATTGAATTTGGGAAAACGAACATTGGAAACGGATTCAGAACGTCGAGTTACCCTAAGAAGGGTCCCGGACGAAAACCCGAAAAGTCCACCCTAAAGTCAACGTTGACCGGAGGTCAACAGTCAAATTAGGTCAAACGGGTTTTAGGCTTGACATCTGGATTAGGGTTTAGGTTTAGGTTAACTAGGATTAGGATTTATTGGGTTTTGGGTTTAGGGTCCTAAGGTTTTTGGATTAAAAGAGTTTAGGGTGAAGAAATGGGGTTTGGGCCTAAGCCCAAACACATACACACCACAAACACACATACACATACACATACACATACACACCACACACACAGACATACACATACACATACACACACATACACATACACATACGCACACGCACACACACTTAAACACACACACACAAACTCACACACTCACACAACACACACACACTAAATATACATACACACACACACGGGTACACACCCACACACCCACACAATCTAAAACACACACACACATGGCCCAAAGGCCTCACAACCAAAAGGGTTGGGCTCAGCAGGGAAGGCCCAAAGGGCTTCGTTTTTGGTGGGTCGCCGGATCCAATGGGAGAGAAGGCCGGAAATTCGGCCGGAAAACCATCCCACTTTAAACGGCCATAACTTTAACAATACTCAACGAAATCAAGCGAGACAAAAACGAAAGTTATAGCCCTTGAAGAGACGAAGAGAATGGTACCTCACACGACGTCTAACTCGCCGTGTTTTGGCCGGAAAACGCCTCGAAAGCCGTCGGACTCGCCGGAAACTGGGTAAGATTCAAATGAGTATAACTTTTCCAATACTCAACGAAATTGAGTGAAACAAAAAGGAAAGTTGTACTACTCGACGAGACGAAGAGATTGATACCTTGCACGCTGGGCAACTCGTCGTGGTTTGGCCAGAAATGGCCTCGAAAGGGGCGGTGCTCGCCGGAGCTTACTCCGTGTCGTCGAACTCGCAGGGCAGGGTCCGGGGTTCGTTGCGAGCCTCTCTTCGATGGTGACTCGGTCCTAGTGAGTCCAGGGGAAGAGAGAGAGCCGAGAGACAGACAGAAGAAGGAAGAAAAGAAAACAGAAAAGAAGAAGAAGAAAGAAGGGAGTTCACGGGGGAGGGACAGAGAGAGAAGGAAGAGTGACGGGAATGGGGGACACAAAAACAGAAGGTGGGCCCCTTGGGCACATCAATTAAGAATAAAAAACTATTTTTAAATAAAATGGGGGTGAGGTGTTACATTAGGCCTCACCATCGTCTCCTAAATCTCAGGTGAAGATGGCCTGTTGCAGATTGGTGAAGACGAAAATGGCTTGTTGCAGATTGGAGACGAAGATGGCTTGTTGCAGATCGGAGAAGACGGTGGGCGCGAGGCTCAAGATCGGAGAAGACGATGGGTTCAAATGATTTATATGATTGTTTTGCTTTGAAAAAGGTTTTCGGATTTAGTAGGAGATACTGGAGGTTTTGGGATTTGAATTCATATGATTCATTTGGTTAATTTGTATGCATGTAAACCTTTTTTAGGCAAGTGGGTGTAGTAGGAGATACTGGAAATCCCAAAACAATCAAAATACTACTGCTTTGAGAACCATGAGTCGTTCAAATTCTTGTTGCAGATTATCCTAATGTTACTGCTTCTGATTTGATCATCTAGGTTATCGACAAAGGAAGATGAACGACGAGTTAAAAAAATTGTAATCGACCCGTGGACCTGGCCCGAATCAGCCCGTTTAGGTTCAGTTCCAAATTCAGAAATGGCATTACTCGGCCCGGCCCACCCCGTTGCATATATGATTATCAATCACAGTTCGAATTCTCCTTGTAAGGTTCACTGCAAAACAAATACTGAAGAAGCCAACATACACACACACACACACACACACATACACAGTGCAATCATATCATATTAAAAGAAAAACTAAAACCAACTAGGTTGGCTCTGATGCCAAATGTAAACTTTAATAAAACCTAGGGTTAATACTTCAAGGTTTTGGCGACATGCACACGTGGTATTTTTGACGAACTGGTATTAGCAATGGTTCAGGATTTTGCCTGAAGAAGCCATTACACAAATTGAAGCCTCTTACTTTGATCTTCTACTCAATGGAAACCTTATGTTCTTTTCTAGTAATGGATCTAGATTTTATCTCAGAAAATGGAACCAACTTTCCTTGAGCAGGGACCAAGTATATATAGACATCTACACATCTCATCATAACCACCTCCTCCCATTAAGGATAGCAGTTTGATAACTGCAAGCATTACGCTTGTCTTCCGATCATGGGGTGTTTCTCTCCTTCATCACGTAACCCTTATGGTCCTACATTATAGGAGATTCAATTAACCAAGTCATTAACTCCTAACTGAACTCTAGTGTCTGATATGGATAATTAACCTTAATTATAATTAGTAAAATCCAAATAAGTTCCAACACAAAAACGATTAGAAGGCATGGATTAGAATAACCATAGATTCATGAAACAATTCATTACAATTGCAATGATCGATCATATAGCAGTAACAGCACCCTCTCCACGAGGAGGGAAAAGCAAACCATCTAACCTAGCACACCCAGTTTCTGAATTTTTCTATACCTAGTGTTGCTTTTCTTCCTTGCGTAACCAATTTAAGTTATTAGACTTGAACATTGTTAATTGGAATTAGTAAGGGATAGTAACGAGGCAAATACTAATATAACAAAGAGAAATACCAATTCAGGTAACATCATATATTAACGGTTGGTTCTATCATTATCTTCGAGTCTTCTTGATGTATGACCTACTTTCTTTGCAATGTCCTGAACTCGTTCCTGCAATTGCATACTTCATTATATTCAAATTTACATATTTTATTTACGTTCGTTCTATCGTTATAATTTGTATGCCTGTTTAAAATTGCTTCATCACCCTCAGATGTTGGTCAGGACATATCCAACGTAATATATGGGGATATCGGGGTTGGATGTGTCACATTATCCAAGACAATTCAACAAGACTTGAGTGGATCCCAGAATGCTGACTAGAAATGTCGTTTTCGTCTTCCAAATACCGATCGACGAAAAGTAGCACATGTTGGGTAAAATTCAAAGAAGCAGGGCAGCTGTCAACACTATCATTAATGTACACGGAAAAACAAGTGCGGTCAAGTCCGATGGCTTGGGCCTCTTTGGTAGTCCGATGGCTTGCGGCCAAAATCCGATGGTTTTCAGCTAAGGGAGGGTAGGATTCTTTGGTAGTCCGATGGCTTGGGCCTCTGATCGTCTAATTCTCTATTGCCCTCGCAGTTGCTGTGATTGTGCCAAGGGTTTGATACATGCATCTGCCAAGAAAATGTTACTGAAAGCTTTGCTTGTTGTGTCCCTCCTCTTCCCATTTTGCACTTCCATTGACACCATAGAAATGGACCAACATGTAAAGGATGGTGATCTTCTGGTGTCCAAAGAAAACATCTTCGCATTAGGGTTCTTCGGCCCCAGAAACTCCAGCTCCAGGTACGTCGGAATTTGGTATGCAGAAAAAGATGAAAAAGATCAAAAGGCAGTGGTTTGGGTAGCAAACAGAAACGACCCCATCAATGATACCTCTGGTGTCCTAACTATAGACAGGTATGGGAGACTGCTTCTTTATTCTAACAATATGCAGAACATTCCTGTGTGGTCTACAAATGTGACGGTTCAAACTGCGAGCACTAGTTGCAGGGCTCAGCTTTTAGATTCTGGAAATTTAGTTATTTTCCGGGATAATAAAAGCAAAAACTTTATGTGGCAGAGTTTTGATTATCCTACAGATACTCAACTTCCGGGTATGAAACTAGGCGTGAATTGGAATTTGGGGATAGAATGGGTCTTAACATCTTGGAAGTCACAGGATGACCCTGGAACTGGGGAATACACCGAAAGGCTCTATTCCAATCAGACCGCCACCCCCCCAGTTTTTTACTTTTTATAAAGGTTTGACTCCGTATTGGCGAGCTGGTACAGTGGACCCGCGTAATTTTGTCAGTAATCAGGACGAAATGTATTTCTTTTTTAAAAACGATAGCACTTCAATAAGGTCGGTGTTGAAGGATTCTGGGTCACTGCAAATCCTCGAGTGGAGCAATGCGAATAGAGAATGGAAGGAACTATGGTCTGCGCCAAAATATCGGTGTGACCTGTATGGAGAGTGCGGTGCCAACAGCAAATGTAGCCCTGACAATTTCAATTTTTTTGGGTGTGAGTGTCTGCCAGGGTATGAACCGAAGTCTGTCAATGATTGGAAGATGAGAAATGGTTCGGACGGGTGTGTGAGTAAACGAGTTGCGGTATCAAAGTGTAGGAACGGAGAAGGGTTCATGAAAGTGGCACAAGTTAAAGATCCAGACACAACGAAAGCAGCACGGCTGGAAAAGGTATTAGTGTCAAAGAGTGTAAGCAGGTGTGCTTAAGCAATTGTTCTTGCACTGCATATATGGTCATAGAATCTGAAGGGCCCAGTGATTGCTTGACATGGTATGGTGAGTTGCTGGACATTTTAGTGCAGACACAGGGAGGGCGAGATCTACATGTACGTGTGGACAAAATCGAATTAGGTACCACTTCTTGCCATGGAAAAGTTGCATTATAAATTTTTGGAATTTGTGGAACTTGCTGTACTACTGGTTTTGTTATTTTTTAATCCTTTATCCCACTCTTATGTGTAGCTGAAAATTCCAGAAACTCGAAAGGTTTTCTTAGAAGGAGGGGTATGCTGGCTGTTCTGATGTTGTCTGTTCTTCTAGCATTGGTACTGATGGTTGCGTTGACCTGTTGGAGGATTAGGAAACAGAGGAAGACAAAAGGTAAGAAGTAGTCAGCGATTTTGAATTCTCGAACGGTTTCATCAAATAAAAGCACTCCATTTGTAATGCTTGTGCAGTTTGTAAATCACATCGAAGCACTGCAATTAGATAGAATCCATATGCGTGAGCTCGATGTAAAACTTATATTTCTATATCGTTTGTCAATGAAATAGAACAGTGAGAAGAAAATGCAGACAGTGATTTCTTTTATTGTTAACAGTTGAGATCGAAGAAACTAGGAGACATCCCGAATGGCAATTTTTCCATCTGAGAACGATAATTGCAGCTACAAACAACTTCTCTCCAGTCCAAAAACTTGGCCAAGGTGGTTTTGGCACTGTTTATAAGGTTAGTCCCACTTTCGAAGAGTTACAAATTTCATTACTAAAGAATAATCACAACATAATGGCTTGATAAAATAAGCGATGATTATGTGGAAGCTTAATGATAAAACTGAATAAAAACTTCAGGGTGTGTTACGAAATAATCAGAATATTGCTGTAAAAAGATTATCCAGAACTTCAGGACAAGGAGTTGAAGAATTCAAAAATGAAGTTGCGCTCATAGCGAGACTTCAACACAGGAATCTTGTGAAACTTTTAGGCTGTTGCATAAAGGGAGAAGAAAGGATGTTAGTCCTGGAATACTTGCCGAACAAAAGCTTGGACTACTTTCTTTTCGGTATGTCTATAGAGGAAAGATTCCTTTGTTCACGCCATTTCTCAAACCATGAAGCATATCTTAGTCGAATATGTCACATTTATCTGCACAAAGCCAAATCTCTTGATGCAGATCACACAAAAAAGTCCTTGCTGGATTGGCAAAAGCGATTCGAAATCATCAATGGGGTTGCTCGTGGGGTTTTGTATCTTCACCAGGATTCAAGACTTAGGATTATTCACAGGGATCTAAAAACCAGCAATGTCCTTCTAGACGCTGAGATGAACCCAAAAATCTCAGATTTCGACATGGCAAGAATCTTCCATGGGGACCAACTCCAAGATACGACCAACAGAGTTGTCGGAACATAGTAAGAATCGTTATAAACTCACCTTCCATTAGCTCTTTCATCTCTTACTATTCTTTGGCTGTAACGTTTTATTTTCTTTATATGCATAATACAGTGGCTATATGTCACCAGAGTATGCAGTGTTTGGGAGATTTTCGACCAAATCGGACGTTTTTAGTTTTGGGGTCATATTATTGGAGATTGTAAGCGGCAAGAAAAACAACGGTTTCTATCAAGCGGATCATTTCGTAAACTTAATAGGACATGTGAGTAACACAAATTTTGCAAACAACCAACCCTTTTTATTTACTCATCCCATACATGTTTAAAATGAACTGTCTACTACAGGTTTGGCAGTTGTGGAGTGAAGACAGAGCCTTAGAAATTGTGGAGTCATCATTGGAGTCATACGCGCCCGACGAAGCCATGAGATGCATTCAGGTCGGGCTCTTGTGTGTCGAAGAAGAGTCGAAGAACAGACCATCCATGTCAGCTGTTGTTTTTATGTTGAGCGGTGAAGCATCTGCTCCATCTCCTCAGCAGCCTGCATTTGCCTTGAGAAAAAATTCATGCGGCGATGCTGTTGTTCCGTTAGTTTCTGAAGGATCGTGTTCTATCAACGACGTGACAATAACTAAATTCGAAGGTCGATAACTAAATTCTGATGTCATCTGTGATAAAACATGGTCTTTCGGGAACTGAATCATATACGTTGAAATGAGACTTCAGTTATATAGGCTATTTCATACACTTTCAAATACCTCTTGGATGTATCTAATAATACAGAACTCTTTCCAACAGTTATGTCTCCTAATCAAAATGTTTTTAATATTAATTAAAAACTTAATCCGAAACTAAAATCAGTTAATATGCTAATTGAAATTACACCTATTGGAGACCTTGTGTTCTTGTGTTCCCTGATGTGGGATAATTGAGGCATAAAACTCCAACAGATTCCAACAAGATCCTTTTCGGATTCTTTTAGTGAGGATCCTGATGATTTGTGAATTGTGTCTGTTTATCGTACATGCAGTTAGTTTTTGTCAAATATTGTTTGTGTTTAATTTTAAATGAAAATATTTAAAATAATTTATAATCGTACGATATACGATAAACGGACAAAATTGATGAATCATCGGGATCCTCACAAAAAGTATCCGGCGAGGATCCGGATTCCAACAGATTATTCTTTGACGAAACTGATTTGACTGCCAACATCCAAAGTCTCCTTGGTTTGAGTCGTGCTTGCTAGGTGCCGGGTAAACCCTTCAAACAAGATGACCCTGGAACTGGGGAATACACCCATAGGCTCTATTCCACCCATAGGCTCTATTCCAATCAGACTGCCACCCCCGAATTTTTTACTTTTTATAAAGGTTTGACTCCGCATTGGCGATCTGAGCCAGTGGACACGGGGCGATCTGATCCAGTGGACATGGTTACTTTTGTCAGTAATCAGGACGAAATGTATTACTTTCTTAAAAACGATAGCACTTCAACAAGAATTGTGTTGAAGGATTCTGGGTTACTGCAACACCTCGGGTGGAACAATGCGGATAGAGAATGGAAGGAAATATGGTCTGCGCCAAAATATCAGTGTGACCTGTATGGAGAGTGCGGTGCCAACAGCAAATGTAGCCCTGACAATATCCATTTGTTTGGGTGTGAGTGTTTGCCAGGGTATGAACCGAAGTCTGTCAATGATTGGAAGATGAGAGATGGTTCGGACGGGTGTGTGAGTAAACGACTTGCGGTATCAAAGTGTAGGAACGGAGAAGGGTTCATGAAAGTGGCACGAGTTAAAGATCCAGACACAACCAAAGCAGCACGGCTGAAAAAAGGTATTAGTATCAAAGAGTGTGAGCAGGTGTGCTTAAGCAATTGTTCTTGCACTGCATATACGGTCATAGAATCTGAAGGGCGCGGTGATTGCTTGACATGGTATGGTGAGTTGCTGGACATTTTAGTGCACACAGAGGTAGGGCAAGATCTATATGTACGTGTGGACAAAATCGAATTAGGTACCACTTCTTGCCATGGAAAAGTTGCATTATAAATTTTTGGAATTTGTGGAACTTACTGTACTACTGGTTTTGTTATTTTTTAATCCTTTATCCCACTCTTATGTGTAGCTGAAAATTCCAGAAATTCGAAAGGTTTTCTTAGAAGGAGGGGTATGCTGGCTGTTCTGATGTTGTCTGTTGTTCTAGCATTGGTACTGATGGTTGCGTTGACCTGTTGGAGGATTAGGAAACAGAGGAAGACAAAAGGTAAGAAGTAGTCAGCGATTTTGAATTCTCGAATGGTTTCATCAAATAAAAGCACTCCACTTGTAATGCTTGTGCAGTTTGTAAATCACATCAAAGCACTACAATTAGATAGAATCCATATGTGCGAGCTCGATGTAAAACTTATATTTCTATATCGTTTGTCAATGAAAATAGAACAGTGAGAAGAAAATGCAGACAATGATTTCTTTTATTGTTAGCAGTTGAGGTTGAAGAAACTAGGAGACATCCCGAATTGCAATTTTTCCATCTGAGAACGATAATTGCAGTCACGAACAACTTCTCTCCCGTCCAAAAACTTGGCCAAGGTGGTTTTGGCACGGTTTATAAGGTTAGTCCCACTTTCGAAGAGTTACAAATTTCATGATTAAAGAATAATCACAACATAATGGCTTGATAAAATAAGTGATGATTATGTGGAAGCTTAATGATAAAACTGAATAAAAACTTCAGGGTGTGTTACAAAATAATCAGAATATTGCTGTAAAAAGATTATCCAGAACTTCAGGACAAGGAGTTGAAGAATTCAAAAATGAAGTTGCGCTTATAGCGAGACTTCAGCACAGGAATCTCGTGAAACTTTTAGGCTGTTGCATAAAGGGAGAAGAAAGGATGTTAGTCCTGGAATACTTGCCGAACAAAAGCTTGGACTACTTTCTTTTCGGTATGTCTATAGAGGAAAGATTCATTTGTTCACGCCATTTCTCAAACTATGAAGCATATCTTAGTCGAATATGTCACATTTATCTGCACAATTAAAGCCAATATCTTGATGCAGATCACACAAAAAAGTCCTTGTTGGATTGGCAAAAGCGATTCGAAATCATCAATGGGGTTGCTCGTGGGGTTTTGTATCTTCACCAGGACTCAAGACTTAGGATTATTCACAGGGATCTAAAAACCAGCAATGTCCTTCTAGACGCTGAGATGAACCCAAAAATCTCAGATTTCGGCATGGCAAGAATCTTCCATGGGGACCAACTCCAGGATACGACCAACAGAGTTGTCGGAACATAGTAAGAATCGTTATAAACTCACCTTCCATTAGCTCTTTCATCTCTTACTATTCTTTGGCTGTAACGTTTTATTTTCTTTATATGCATAATACAGTGGCTATATGTCACCGGAGTATGCAGTGTTTGGGAGATTTTCGACCAAATCGGATGTTTTTAGTTTTGGGGTCATATTATTGGAGATTGTAAGCAGCAAGAAAAACAACGGTTTCTATCAAGCGGATCATTTCGTAAACTTAATAGGACATGTGAGTAACACAAATTGTGCAAACAACAAACCCTTTTTATTTACTCATCCAATACATGTTTAAAATGAACTGTCAACTACAGGTTTGGCAGTTGTGGAGTGAAGACAGAGCCTTAGAAATTGTGGATTCGTCATTGGAGTCATACGTGCCCGACGAAGCCATGAGATGCATTTAGGTCGGGCTCTTGTGTGTCGAAGAAGAGTCGAAGAACAGACCATCCATGTCAGCTGTTGTTTTTATGTTGAGCGGCGAAGCATCTGCTCCATCTCCTCAGCAGCCCGCATTTGCCTTGAGAAGAAATTCATGCGGTGATGCTACAGTTCCATTACTTTCCAATGGATCGTGTTCTATCAACGACGTGACAATAACTAAATTCGAAGGTCGATAACTAAATTCCGATGTCTGTGATAAAACATGGTCCTTCGGGAACTGAATCATATACGTTGAAATGAGACTTCAGTTATATAGGCTATTTCATACATTTTCAAATACCTCTTGGATGTATCTAATAATACAACTCTGTCCAGCAGTTTGTTTCCTAATCAAAACATTTTTGATATTAATTAAAAATTTAATCCGAAACTAAAATTAGTTAATATACTAGTAAAAATCACACCTATTGGAGAACTTGTGTTCCTGATGTGGGACAATTGAGGCATAAAACTCCAACAGATTATTCTTTGACGATACTGATTTGACTGTCAACATCCAAAGTCTCCTTGGTTTGAGTCGTGCTTGCCAGGTGCCGGGTAAACTCTTCAGACAAGCAGCATAAATTCCAACAAAAACATAAACATCAGCTACAATTCTTCTGTCAAATTATAAAAGAGACGGCTAAAGTCTCACTTCTAACAACATCGATATTGTTTTCAATTTTATTACCACCTGCACAGTCCAACATGTGTGAAGTTTATTACAAAATGTCACAGTATTAGTTGGAATCAAACCAACACGTGACTGTACGGGCATGCTCGTTGGCTCTGATACCATGTCAAATTATCATAGAGATGATCCAAAGTCTCACTTCCAACAATACCGATATTGTCCCCAACTTGTTAATTACCACCGGCACAGTCAGACCAGTGTGAGATTTTATCACAAAAAAACTTCGGTATTAATTGGGATTCTTTAGGCCCGACAACTCCAGTAGTTCCAGGTACGTCTGAATTTGGTATGCAGACAAACTTGAAGAAAATAATTGTTTGGGTGGAGTGGCAAACAAAGACAATCCCATCAATGAGAGATTTTTCAGTGTAGAAAAAATTTTAATTGTGACGGGAACGCAGATGGTATACCTAGGGGTGGGCAAACAGGTCCTGGACCCGTGGGTCGGGGGGGTCCAAAAATTCGAAACACAAAACGGGGTGGGTCTATGAAATTAGCAGGGAGGGGCGGGTCCAAAAATAAGAATGAACGAGCCCCCGACCATGCCCGTTTGTAGCATATGAGATAATGGATTTGATTAGTGTGACACCGTGGGCCTCGACTTACAAGGTTGCCCACCAAATGGGACCAGATTTAGGAGGCCCTTAAGGTCTCTAGAACCATCATCTCAGAGCATTTTTATTTTTATATGATTTAATTAAATCCCCTCATCTTAGACTCCCAGACTCCCCCACTTTCTTTCTCCATTTCTCAACTTTCTTGTTCTTTTCTCCACCCAACCCTCGAATCGACCGCCGCGACATCACATCAGCCACCACACGAGTCACGGCATTACCTCACCATCGTTCTTAAACCTAGAAACCTTTCCTGAGAGTGACTTAGTTGATTCGAATTCGACTACGTCGACATCGCACAACAACCAGCCACCACGGCATCACGCCTCACCATCGTCTCTTAAATCTTAGGTGAAGATGGCCTGTTGCAGATTGGTAAAGACGAAAATGGCTTGTTGCAGATTGGAGACGAAGATGGCTTGTTGCAGATCGGTGAAGACGGTGGGTGCGAGGCTTAAGATCGGAGAAGACGGTGGGTTTAAACGATTTATATGATTGTTTTGCTTTGAAAAAGGTTTTCGGATTTAGTAGGAGATACTGGAGGCTTTGGGATTTGAATTCATATGATTCATTTGGTTAATTTGTATGCATGTCAACCTTTTTGAGGCAAGTGGGTGTAGTAGGAGATACTGGCAATCCCAAAACAATCAAAATACTATTGGTTTGAGAACCATGAGTCGCTCAACTTCTTGTTGCAAATTATCCTAATGCTACTACTTCCGATTTGAGCATCTAGGTTATCGACGGAGGAAGACGAAGGACGAGTTAAAAAAATTGTAATCGGATCTATGGACCCGGCCCGAATCGGCCTGTTTAGGTCCGGTTCCAGATTCAGAAATGGCATTACTCCCGGCCCACCCCGTTGCATTTTAAAACAGGTCCAGTCCGGTTCTTTCAAATTTCGGCCCGGCCCGGCCCGTGCCCACCCCTAGGTATACCACGTGTTTTTATGTAAATAGTAGAAAATTTTACTTTTTGAGTTATTAACTTTTTAACACATATATTTCATCATTTGTATAGTGACACGTAGTGTACCACCTCGTGTACCGGTCACACTGAAAAATCTCTCTTCAGTGTGACCGGTACACGGAGTGGTACACCACGTGTCATTATGCAAATAGTAGGATATATGTGCTAAAAAGTTAATACTTAAAAAATAAAATTTCTCACCACTCCTATAAAAATACGTGATGTACTACTTATATTCTCGTCATAACTATAAATTTCTCCCCATCAACAATAGTTCCGGAGTTGGTTGAAATTCTGCTGCTGGGAACATTTCGATTTGGTCCACGAATGTGTCTGTCCATGTCCAAACCAGAAGCACTTATGTAGCTCAGCTTTTAGATTCTGGAAATTTTGTAGTACGATTTTAGTGGCCATTGATAGAGGACTAATTTCTAATTTATTTGGATTGAATTCAAAATTTCAACGAGATAAAAGCAGGCTGTATTCAAAACGGCACGCCTGAATTCGAATTTTTGGCCTGATGAATTGCACGATAGTGGCTAAGGAGAGGCTGAAATGCCTCTGTGAGTCTTTCCGATCACGAAAGTATGAATTGCCATTGCGAAGCCACCAACTAATCTTTTTTTTTTTTTTTTTGTAAGGTTAAAAAAAGGGAGAATTTAGTAAAGGACAAAATGGGTTGTGTACCAGATGCGTATTATTATGATTTCTCCATGTCATTAATTAATTAATCATACGTGGTTTTGAAGTAAACTGCCAAATTTCATTATGAATTTTCACTTAGTTTTCGATTTCTCTCATACCATTAATTTTCTATAAATTTCATCTAAATTAACTGTAACTTTTTATCACGTGCATACCACGTGACTCTCCTTTAAGAGCAGAAGCGTCACTCCGTTGATCAAAAGCATTCATCCATTCACCTTTCAATTTGCTCTTCTCAATATCACTTGTATTAAACATTTCCAAACCCAAACAACATTACAAGAAGCAAATCTAGAGAATGGGGGATCAATCTAAGAAACCCCAGCAGCACATCATATGTACAATTACAATTTTACACCTGGGCAATGAAATCTTCTTCATCACATAATTTACACCTTCCACAACTGAAAACACAGCAATTACAAGGTGGAGCAGGAATCTAAAGCAATTCTACTTCCCGATGGCGACCACAGCAATCCTGAATGTAAAATGTTTTCCTCCCCGATGGCAAGGAATAACAATCCTTCTAGCGGAAGATATCAAATGGAAAGTCCGAATTCCAATCATAGCAATGGCCAGTTTATGGAATGGCAAATGCCCGGCTTATTTAACTCGTGGATATTCACATGAATCTTTACTTTTCTATAAGCTGCAGGGGTGAGGGGATTTGATCGAGACAATAGGTGGCGGTTGTAGCTCAAAGAACGATTTTGCACCTTCTCCAAGGCTACCTATGCATATCGTATCAGACCTGGCTTCTCTGCCCTCTCAGTTCTCATACACTATCATCCCCTCTTATTTGTGCGGTTACGGTTAAGCCACATCAACATTTTATATCACTATTACTTTTTGTCTTAATATCTCTATAAAAAAAATCATTATAAAATATTGACGTGACTTAATCGTGATCGCACAAAATAGAAGGCGATGAGAGTATATGGAAACTTGGAGGGCAAAGAAGCCAGGTCCTATAGTATCGCCCCGACCATGCCAGGTGCCATCTTGGACATTGTTCATCTCCAATGTTCTGGATTCCTGCTCATATTGTAAGAATAGCATCCATAACTTTCAAAAAATTAGATAATTAATCAGAATGATAAGATCTGTCCATAATATAGGCATAGGTTCTCGAAGGATAATCACCTGACATAATGTACAGCACGGGAAGATGAGATGGTAGATGCATTCATCCAAGGAACTATCAATACCCTGAAAATTACAGGCATTGCCCGCAACAATGTCAGGGTAGTTTGTGTATAACCACGAAAATGATTAGAAGGCATGGATTAGAATAACCATAGATTCATGAAACAATTCATTACAATTGCAATGATCGATCATTTAGCAGTAACCGCACCCTCTCCACGAGGAGGGAAAAGCAAACCATCTAACCTAGCACACCCAGTTTCCGAATTTTTCTATACCTAGTGTTGCTTTTCTTCCTTGCGTAGCCAATTTAAGTTATTAGACGTGAACATTGTTAATTGGAATTAGTAAGGGATAGTAACGAGGCAAATACTAATATAACAAAGAGAAACACCAATTCAGGTAACAACATATATTAACGGTTGGTTCTATCGTTATCTTCGAAGTCTTCTTGGTGTAGGACCTACTTTCTTTGCAATCTCATTTATTTTAAAATATTCATTTCGTACTCTTTTTTATTAGTTGTAAGTCCTGAACTCGTTCCTACAATTGCATACTTCATTATATTCAAATTTACATATTTTATTTACGTTCATGCTATCGTTATAATTTGTATGCATGTTTAAAATAACTTCATTACCCTCGGATGTCGGCCAGCGCATATCCATCGTAATATATGGGGATATTGGGGTTGGATGTGTCACATTATCCAAGACAATTCAACAAGACTTGAGTGGATCCCAGAATGCTGACTAGAAATGTCGTTTTCGTCTTCCAAATACCGATTGACGAAAAGTAGCACATGTTGGGTAAAATTCAAAGCAGGACAGCAGTCAACACTATCATTAATGTACACAGAAAAACAAGTGCGGTCAAGTCCGATGGCTTGGGCCTCTTTGGTAGTCCGATGGCTTGCGGTCAAAATCCGATGGTTTTGAGTTAAGGGAGGTTCGGATTCTTTGGTAGTCCGATGGCTTGGGCCTCTGATCGTCTAATTCTCTATTGCCCTCGCAGTTGCTGTGATTGTGCCAAGGGTTGATACATGCATCTGCCATTAAATGTTACTGAAAGCTTTGCTTGTTGTTTCCCTCCTCTTCCCATTTTGCACTTCCATTGACACCATAGAAATGGACCAACATGTAAAGGATGGTGATCTTCTGGTGTCCAAAGAAAACGTCTTCGCATTAGGGTTCTTCAGCCCCAGAAACTCCAGCTCCAGGTACGTCGGAATTTGGTATGCTGAAAAAGATGAAAAAGATCAAAAGGCAGTGGTTTGGGTAGCAAACAGAAACGACCCCATCAATGATACCTCTGGTGTCCTAACTATAGACAGGTATGGGAGACTGCTTCTTTATTCTAACAATATGCAGAACATTCCTGTGTGGTCTACAAATGTGACGGTTCAAACTGCGAGCACTAGTTGCATGGCTCAGCTTTTAGATTCTGGAAATTTAGTTCTTTTCCGGGATAATAAAAGCAAAAATTTTATGTGGCAGAGTTTTGACTATCCTACAGATACTCTCCTTCCGGGTATGAAACTAGGCATGAATTGGAAATTGGGGATAGAATGGGTCTTAACATCTTGGAAGTCACAAGATGACCCTGGAACTGGGGAATACACCAATAGGCTCTATTCCAATCAGACTGCCACCCCCGAATTTTTTGTTTTTTATAAAGGTTTGACTCCGCATTGGCGATCTGAGCCAGTGGACACTTTTGTCAGTAATCAGGACGAAATGTATTTCTTTCTTAAAAACGATAGCACTTCAACAAGGGTGGTGTTGAAGGATTCTGGGTTAGTGCAACACCTCAGGTGGAACAATGCGGATAGAGAATGGAAGGAACTATGGTCAGGGCCAAAATATCGGTGTGACCAGTATGGAGAGTGCGGTGCCAACAGCAAATGTATCCCTGACAATTTCAATTCGTTTGAGTGTGAGTGTCTGCCAGGGTATGAACCGAATGTTAGAGTATGAGTATGATTCCTACATATTTTGGGATAATTAACATTATCATAAAAGAAGTCTTAGTCATGTTAGCAAGAGAAATCCTATTGTGACTGGGATATTGAGAACTCTTGTATTTGCACATAAAAGGACTCATATTCCTTATTGGATTGTAATAGGGCAATCGATATGCTTAGTATATATACATAAGCCACTGCTCTCACAAAGTAACGCTCTCATCTTGGTACCAATAACCTATTCTTGGGAGAGCATTGAGATTTGCAGAGAGGAGAAGGGTTGTGTAAGTGCTGCGATGGCTTCTTCATCAAGCAGCATGTCTGCAGGTTAGTACCTTTTGATACTGTGTCTATATTTAGTTTTCATTCTTGATTAATGTTGTGATTTGATCACTTGATTCAATTCGGTTCATGGGAAGAGATTGTTTTAGGATTTGATGTCTCTGAGTTATTCTAACATGTGGTATCAGAGCCAAAATAAATCTTGTGATTAAATTCAAGCCTACAGACACGAACTGCAATTGAAGAAACTGGCTTTTACGTTTGTTGTTTTTCCATTATAAACGACGCCGTTTTTGGACTTAAAAAAAAAAAAAAAAAAAAAAAAAAAACCGGCGTATTGACCGTTGGTATTCCGTAAAGAAAGAAATTCTTCACAAAACACCTGGGTTTTGTATTCGACTTATCGGCTCTTTGAAACAGATCCAAGAAATAATCGAAGAAACACATCTCTTTTAGATTCATGTTTCAACTTTTACATTCCGCTGCGTGATTTCTTGAATCGTGAATTTAAGGTAATTCTTAACAAGAGTTATTCGATTCTTGAGAGTGATTAATGAAGAATATAGTGTTCTGTAATTCGTTCAACAGTAGTTAAATGTTGAAAATTTGAATTTATGCATGATTATTCTGCAAAGATTAACTGATTTATTTTGTTTATTGTGTTGATCTATTGAAATTCGGAAAATACCGTGAGTTGTGAATCTGCAGAATACAATGTGATCATCACTGTAGGGTTGTTTGATCTATATATGCTTTTCGAATTCAAAGAAAAGTCTGTATATATGACTAAATTGATTCATTACAGTGATGTGCTTAGTAATTGTAGACTGAAATCAGGAACTTATAGTTCTTTTTTTGTGATTTCATTTTGACATGTCTGCAGTACCTCTAAAGACTCAATCTTGCTAGTGTTCCTATTCTCACTGGGGGTAGTAACTATAAAAGATGGAGGCGTGAAATTGGTCTGTTGCTTACTCTTAATGAGTTTGATATAGCACTAGATACGCCTAGACCATCACCATTGACCGACAAAAGTACCAAAACAGAGAAGGCTGAGTTTGAAAGGTGGACTAGGGCCAACAAAATTGCGTTGTCCATCCTTGAAAGTGGGATGACAGATACTGTTAGAGGGGGAATCAAGAAGAATGATCTTGCTAGTGATTATCTTCAGGCCATTGAGAATAAGTTTAAAGAATCTGAGAAGGCAGAGATCAGTCAATATATGTCTGTCTTGACAACCTACAAGATTGAAGGTAATGCATCCATTAGAGATCACATTATGAAGATGTCGGATGCAGCAGAGAAACTCAATTCCATGGAGGTCAATATCGGGGAGAAACAACTGGTTTTTATGATACTGCAAGCTCTTCCAGCGAAGTATAGCCAGTTGAAAGTGTCATACAACACTCAAGATAAGACTTGGACTGTGGATGAGTTAATTGCTCAATGTGTGCAAGAGGAAACTCGGCAGAGGCAAGAGAAAAGGAGAGAAACAGAAGATGTGCACCTAGTGCATGCTGGAAATCAGGAGACCAATATTGCTTCTGGTAAGGTATCCAAATTCTCTAATCATGCCAATAAGTCTGCTAAATCTGCAAAATACTCAAAACCCTCTAAATCTAACAAACTTAATGTGAAAGATGTGACGAAAATTAGACGTCATCACTGCAAACTCAAGGGTCATTATAGAAAGGATTGTGAAACATTCAAGGATTGGCTAAGGAGTAAAGGAAGAACAAATGTCTATGTTTGTGTAGAATCAAATTTGATCGAAATTCCTGCTAATTCTTGGTGGTTTGACACAGGGTGTTCAGTTCACATCACAAACACATTACATAGATTTGAAAAACAAAAACACACTTATAAAGACTCTTATAATGTTTTTGTGGGGAATGGGACAAAAGTAGGTGTTGAGGCAATTGGGGTTGTGAAACTGAAAATGAAATCAGGTTTTGTTCTTCATTTAAAAGATGTTCTTTATGTTCCAGATATGAGAAGAAGTCTGATTTCTGCATCAAAATTGGTCAAACAAGGTTTCGGTTTTCTTTGTGATGATTCATGCATAAAATTTTTCCAGAAAAACAAAATCAATTCCTTACTTTGGACAGCTATTTTGCATGATGAATTGTGGGAAATAGACTACATATTTGAAAAACCATCCCTTGTTTTGAGTACTACTGCTAAACGCATGCATGAATCAGAGTCTTCATATAGTTTATGGCATAAGAGACTAGGTCACATTTCAAAAGAAAGAGTTTTACAATTAGCTAAGGCAAACTTGATTCCTGCACTTGATTTCAAAAATGCAAAAGAGTGTGTTGATTGTGTGAAAGGAAAGCTGACAAATATCAGAAATTTTGAAGCAAAAAGGAGTAAAAATCTTCTTGAGATTGTATATACTGATGTTTGTGGTCCTTTTCCTGTTAAGACCATATGTGGGAATAGCTATTTTGTGAATTTCATTGATGATTTCTCTAGATATGGTTCTACTTTTCTCATTAGTGAAAAATCAGCCGTACTTGAATGTTTTAAAATCTTTAAGACTGAAGTTGAGATGCAGTTGAATAGACAAATTAAAATTGTTAGATCAGATAGAGGGGGAGAGTATTTTGGCAGGTACACTGAAGCTGGACAACAGAAGGGTCCTTTTGCAATATATCTTCAGCAACAAGGCATTGTGGCGCAATATACTACACCAGGGACACCACAGCAAAATGGTGTTTCAGAAAGGAGAAATAGAACTTTAATTGGGATGGTTCGAAGTATGATTTCAAGAGCGAAACTGCTAGTTTTCTCTGGGGTGAAGCACTCAAGACTGCCAATTACATTTTGAACCGAGTACCCACTAAGTCTGTGAAGGGAACACCTTTTGAAGTTTGGACAGGTAGACAGCCTAGCTTTGGGCATTTCCATGTATGGGGCTGCAAGTCTGAGGGCCGATTTTATAATCCGAATTAAAGGAAGTTAGATGCCAGAACTACAACTTGTTACTTTATTGGATATTCTGAGAAATCCAAGGGCTATAAATTCTATTGTCCACAGGCTTATTCTCGGATTCAAGAGACTAATAATGCTGTGTTCATTGAAGACCAAGATGTTGCAGATATGGTGGCTGAACCTTTTGAATTTGAAGAACTTGCCCAAACAAATGATGATGCTGCAACAAATGACTGTCTGCAGATTCCAATTTTCTCAAACATACCATCTGCAATTAGAGATGAAGACACTGAGATGACTGAAAATGAGATGCAGCCTGTTGCTGAGGATAATCCTGCATCTATGTCTGAAGAAATTCAAGAACTCAATCATCAACCTGTACAGCAATCTGTGAGACACTCAACAAGAGTGAAAAAACCGACTCTTTCAAATGACTATGTCTACCTCCAGGAGCATGAATTCGATCTAGGAGACATTGATGATCCACTGACCTATTCTCAAGCAATGACAAGTCCACAAGCTGTGTTATGGAAGAAGGCTATGGAAGAAGAATTAGAATCCATGTCCAAGAACAATGTTTGGACTTTGGTGGAATCTGATTCTAAGACTAAACCAATAGGTTGCAAGTGGGTTTACAAAACCAAGAGAGATGCTCAAGGGAGAATTGAAAGATACAAGGCTCGGCTCGTAGCAAAGGGTTTTACACAGAAGAAAGGGGTTGATTTTAGTGATACTTTTTCCCCAGTTTCTTCAAAGGACTCTATGCGGATAGTTATGGCCTTAACAGCCTACTTTGATCTTGAATTACATCAAATGGATGTAAAAACAGCTTTCCTCAATGGTGAATTAGAAGAAACTATACATATGAAGCAGCCACCTGGATTCATTGAAAGGGGGAAGGATAGTTTGGTCTGCAAGCTTAATAAGTCAATTTATGGACTTAAACAAGCTTCTAGACAATGGTATATTAAATTTGATAAAGTGGTGACTGCACACGGGTTTACTGAGAACAAGCTTGATGACTGCATATACTCCAAGTTCAAAGGTACCAAATTCATATTCCTGGTACTATATGTGGATGATATCTTGATAGCTAGTTCTAATTTGCAATTGCTGCATGAAACCAAGACTATGCTCAGTTCTAACTTCGAGATGAAAGATTTGGGGGAGGCGCATTATGTCCTAGGAATTGAGATCATCAGAGACAGAGCAAAGAAGTTTCTGGGGCTATCACAGAAAGGATATATTGAGAGAGTTTTAATCCGGTTCAACATGGAAGATTGTAACGGTGCTGATGTACCTGTGAATAAATGAGACAAATTCACTCGAGATCAATGTCCCAAATCCGAGTTGGAAAAGAGAAAGATGAGTTCAAAACCGTATGCTTCTCTAGTGGGCAGTTTAATGTATGCCAACATATGTACTAGGCCGGATCTTGCTTTCATTGTTGGCATGCTGGGCAGATTTCAATCTAATCCAGGTGAAGCACATTGGATGGCAGCTAAGAAGGCATTAAGGTATTTGCAGAGAACAAAAGGCTTCATGTTAGTTTATGGTGGAGCAAAAGAACTGGAAGTAATTGGTTTTACCGATTCTGATCTGGCCGGTGATCTAGATGAAAGAAAATCAACTGGTGGCTATGTTTTCATGTTTAATGAAGGTGCTATTTCATGGAGAAGTGCCAAGCAAACTATGATCTCTACCTCTACTATGGAAGCAGAGTTTGTGGCATGTTTTGAAGGCATGAAACAGGCAGTTTGGCTTAAGAATTTTGTCAGTGAGTTGAAGCTTGTAGACTCAATACAAAGACCAGTGAAGATGTTCTGTGACAATAATTCTGCAGTGTTCTTCTCAAAGAACAACAAAAGGACTTCAGCCTCGAGGTTAATGGATGTGAAATTCTTGAAAGTTAGAGAGAAAGTTAAACAAGGTGCAATAGTGGTGGAACATTTAACCACTGATCTGATGATTGCCGATCCTTTAACGAAGGCATTGCCAAATGGAATTTTCAAGACTCATGTAACTCGGATGGGAGTATTGGAGGCTTTTGAAAAGTGGGAGTAATTGGTGCTATATTCAAAAGTGTGTTATAGCTACTGGAAGATGACAGTAGAATGCTTTTCAAAAAGGAGGTTTTCTGCAAAAGTTTTCTGGAAGCTAAGTATTTGAGTTAGTTTTCTTGTTTGTTTTATTTGCAGTTAGTTGTGTTTTTTATTCAGTGCAATTTTTCCAGAAATTTCTGTGATTAATTGTTCTATAGAATAGTTTTTCGATTCAATAAAAGCTTGTGAATCAATTTTTGGTACTGATAAAGCTATTGAATGAATCATAACTGTGTTGTTCACTCTTTCGTGAATGATTTTTTAGTTAACAGTTTCATGATGGATATTTTGGTATTGATTTTGGGCTATATGAGTGGGAGTATATATTTTGGGTTTACTCCTGGATTGAGATGCATTGCTATAAGCATAAATTGGACATTGTGATTTGTAAGATGATTTTGTATTCTGTGTTACAAAGGAGATTACAAATTCATTGTTTTGGTTTGTGCAAGCTGGATGTATCTGTGCACTCGTGTAAATGATAAAAGACTTGTGTGATCACCTTTTTTGATACATTTGAGATAATTATCTGTTGTGATGAATCATACTCAAGTGGGAGAATGTTAAAGTATGAGTATGATTCCTACATGTTTTGGGATAATTAACATTATCATAAAAGAAGTCTTAGTCATGTTAGCAAGAGAAATCCTATTGTGACTGGGATATTGAGAACTCTTGTATTTGCACATAAAAGGACTCATATTCCTTATTGGATTGTAATAGGGCAATCGATATGCTTAGTATATATACATAAGCCACTGCTCTCACAAAGTAACGCTCTCATCTTGGTACCAATAACCTATTCTTGGGAGAGCATTGAGATTTGCAGAGAGGAGAAGGGTTGTGTAAGTGCTGCGATGGCTTCTTCATCAAGCAGCATGTCTGCAGGTTAGTACCTTTTGATACTGTGTCTATATTTAGTTTTCATTCTTGATTAATGTTGTGATTTGATCACTTGATTCAATTCGGTTCATGGGAAGAGATTGTTTTAGGATTTGATGTCTCTGAGTTATTCTAACACCGAAGTCTGTCAATGATTGGAAGATGAGAAATGGTTCGGACGGGTGTGTGAGTAAACGAGTTGCGGTATCAAAGTGTAGGAACGGAGAAGGGTTCATGAAAGTGGCACAAGTTAAAGATCCAGACACAACGAAAGCAGCACGGCTGGAAAAAGGTATTAATGTCAAAGAGTGTGATCAGGTGTGCTTAAGCGATTGTTCTTGCACTGCATATATATGGTCATAGAATCTGAAGGGCCCAGTGATTGCTTGACATGGTATGGTGAGTTGCTGGACATTTTAGTGCACACACAGGTAGGGCGAGATCTACACGTCCGTGTGGACAAAATCGAATTAGGTACCACTTCTTGCCATGGAAAAGTTGCATTATAAATTTTTGGAATTTGCGGAACGTACTGTACTGCTAGTTTTGTTATCTTTTAATCCTTTATCCCACTCTTATGTGTAGCTGAAACTGCCCGAAACTCGAAAGGTTTTCTTAAAAGGAGAGGTATGCTGGCTATTCTGATGTTGTCTGTTCTTCTAGCATTGGTACTGATCGTTGCGTTGGCCTGTTGGAGGATTAAGAAAAAGAGGAAGACAAAAGGTAAAAAGTAGTCAGCGATTTTGAATTCTCGAACAGTTTCATCAAATAAAAGCACTCCATTTGTAATGCTTGTGCAGTTTGTAAATCACATCGAAGCACTGCAATTAGATAGAATCCATATGCATGAGCTCGATGTAAAACTTATATTTCTATATCGTTTGTCAATGAAAATAGAACAGTGAGAAGAAAATGCAGACAATGATTTCTTTTATTGTTAACAGTTGAGATCGAAGAAACTAGGGGACATCCCGAATTGCAATTTTTCCATCTGAGAACGATAATTGCAGCTACAAACAACTTCTCTCCAGTCCAAAAACTTGGCCAAGGTGGTTTTGGCACTGTTTATAAGGTTAGTCCCACTTTCGAAGAGTTACAAATTTCATTAAAAAGGTTGTACCCAGTGCACAAGGCTCCCGCTTTACGCAGGGTCTGGGAGAGGTAAATGTCGGCTAGCCTTAATCACAACATAATGGCTTGATAAAATAAGCGCTGATTATGTGGAAGCTTAATGATAAAACTGAATAAAAACTTCAGGGTGTGTTACGAAATAATCAGAATATTGCTGTAAAAAGATTATCCAGAACTTCAGGACAAGGAGTTGAAGAATTCAAAAATGAAGTTGCGCTGATAGCGAGACTTCAACACAGGAATCTTGTGAAACTTTTAGGTTGTTGCATAAAGGGAGAAGAAAGGATGTTAGTCCTGGAATACTTGCCGAACAAAAGCTTGGACTATTTTCTTTTCGGTATGTGTATATAGGAAGATTCATTTGTTCACGCCATTTCTCAAACTATGAAGCATATCTTAGTCGAATATGTTACATTTATCTGCACAATTAAAGCCAAATATCTTGATGCAGATCACACAAAAAAGTCCTTGCTGGATTGGCAAAAGCTGGATTGGCAAAAGCGATTCGAAATCATCAATGGGGTTGCTCGTGGGGTTTTGTATCTTCACCAGGACTCAAGACTTAGGATTATTCACAGGGATCTAAAAACCAGCAATGTCCTTCTAGACGCTGAGATGAACCCAAAAATTTCAGATTTCGGCATGGCAAGAATCTTCTATGGGGACCAACTCCAGGATACGACCAACAAAGTTGTTGGAACATAGTAAGAATAGCTATAAACTCACATTCCATTAGCTCTTTCATCTCTTACTATTCTTTGGCTGTAACGTTTTATTTTCTTCATATGCATAATACAGTGGCTATATGTCACCAGAGTATGTAGTGTTTGGGAGATTTTCAACCAAATCAGATGTTTTTAGTTTTGGGGTCATATTATTGGAGATTGTAAGCGGCAAGAAAAACAACAGTTTCGATCAAGAGGATCATTTCAGAAACTTAATAGGACATGTGAGTAACACAAATTTTGCAAACAACCAACCCTTTTTATTTACTCATCCCATACGTGTTTAAAATTAACTGTCAACTACAGGTTTGGCAGTTGTGGAGTGAAGACAGAGCCTTAGAAATTGTGGATTTGTCACTGGAGTCATACTCACCCGACGAAGCCATGAGATGCATTCAAGTCGGGCTCTTGTGTGTCGAAGAAGAGTCGAAGAACAGACCATCCATGTCAGCTGTTGTTTTTATGTTGAGCGGCGAAGCATCTGCTCCATCTCCTCAGCAGCCTGCATTTGCCTTGAGAAAAAATTCATGCAGCGATGCTGCTGTTCCATCAGTTTCCAAAGGATCGTGTTCTATCAACGACGTGACAATAACTAAATTTGAAGGTCGATAACTAAATTCTAATGTCGTCTATGATAAAACATGATCCATTGGGAACTGAATCATATACGTTGAAATGAGATTTCAGTTATATAGGCTATTTCATGCACTTACAAATACCTCTTGGATGTATCTGATAATACAGAACTCTTTCCAACAGTTATGTATCCTAATCAAAACGTTTTTAATATTAATTAAAAACTTAATCCAAAATTAAAATCAGTTAATATACTAATTAAAATTACACCTATCAACAGATTATTCTTTGATGAGGAAAGAGATCTCCTCCAGATTTCTTCCACTAAGACCACGGGATCATGTGATCCGAGCCTTCCAAATTTCATCCAATGATAAAAATTATCATAACTTTTAAAGAATCAAAATAGGTGGGCATTTGGATAGAATTTAAAAGGCCCGGATCACTTGATCCGGTGGCCTTGGTGGAAAGAGATCCTCCCTTTGACAAAACTGATTTGACCGTCAACATCCAAAGTCTCCTTGGTTTGAGTCGTGCTTGCCAGGTGCTGGGTAAACTCTTCAAACAAGCAGCATAAATTCCAACAAAAACATAAACATCAACGACAATTCTTTTGTCAAATTATGAAAGAGACGGGTCAAAGTCTCACTTCTAACAACACCGATATTGTTTTTAATTTAGTTCAATATTCTAAAAAACACTAGGCGCTAGTTAGGCGGCTGGCTGAAGCCTAGCGCCTAGGCGGATTTAAGTATATGTGTAAAATTTTAGGACTTTTTATGTTGATTTTGTAACATTTAGTCACCCTATTTATTTTAATCATTGTTGGACCTTTATTTTTCATTAAAATATGAATTGGGCCTTGTTTTTTTATGGGAACTTTAATGAAAAGCATCTGGTACTGTTCATTTTAACGAAAAAACACATTTTTACACTAAAAAGTCAATCCTGGTACTATTCATTTTACCCTTTATTTTGTCCTTATCATTAAAACTCAAAGTTTTCAAGTCATTTTCATTAATTTTTTTTTTTTATTCCCGTATTTTCAACTGCTGGAGGAAAGATGACTGAAGTTAAGAGAGAAGAAGGAGGGTTTAAGCGATCCATGGCATTCTTGGAGCGGAATCACTTGCATTTTTTTTAGTGTAGGAGAGCGCTGTGTCGCAAAGCTTGCTTCGTGAATTAAGTGCTAGACTTAGGGAAACGGAAGAGCAAGCTAACTTTATTGGTTTCGTTGAGTTAATTTTGCATCGTATTGACTCTACCAGCACATTCCTTACAAGAGTCGAAGTATCGTGAATCTGTGATAGAGGAGCAAATGCCATCGTTCCATAATGCAAGGTTTAAGCACAGCATATTTGTGTTATGATCTGATGCATGCAGACAAGTTTGAATCTGGTAGATATATCCTAGGCTTCTAGTTGTGCTCACCCAGTATGCCCCATTGTCCAGTTGTTTGGAATATCACATTTGCCTCTCAGTATGTGTGTACAAATTGCCTGGTTCTTTTCCTGTCACATTTGCTCTTCCTGAAGAGTCTTTTGTAAATAGCAAGGCTTGTTGTTCCCTCGTTATTCATTCATGCATATGTGAACAACTTGAATGTAGGAGTTGGATTTTAAGTATCTGAATATTGTAGTGACTGACCCGAGAATGGTTTTCACTTGTTAAAATAGAAAGTATCAAGTTAGTTTACATGAAATTGGCTGCCAATATCACTGTCTTACATCATTTCTTACCTGCAGCGTGTCTTTGCATATATGCCTATCTTGATTTGTCAACATTGTCTTTATTCTTTTCTTCACTGTATCTCTTTTTCTTTTTAGCTGCTGATATTTTGTTGTGGAAGCGGGGGCGTGTTTCCTTTGGCACTATCATTGTTGCTACAGTTTCCTGGCTTGTGTGTTCGAGCGGTCTGGACTATCATTCTTATCAATTTGTGCAGATGTCTTGCTGATTTTGGTTGTACTCTTATTCCTTTGTGCCAACTATGCTGATTTCAGAAATAAGTAAGAATTTCTACCCTCTTCCCCGGTATTTTATTACCCTAGAATTGGAACTGTTTTCAATTAGGATAACTATCATATTCCCTAGAATTGGGACTGTTTTCAATTAGGATAACTATCATATTCTTTGTGTAGACAACTGCAAACATTACCGGAGCTAGTTGTATCAGAGGAAATGGTTCATAATGTTGCAGCGTCGTTCCGTGTTAAAATCAACAATGTGCTGCTTATGGCTCATGACATCACTCTTTGGCAAAGACTTTAGACTATTCTTCAAGGTCAGTATTAATGTTACGATAATAATACAGGAATCGCTGGGTTTGAATTATATTTGCAGGATCTATTTTATTTCTGAAACTACACACGGTGTTCACATGCTACTTTGCATCTGTAGCTATTACTGTCTTACCAAGCTACTATATTTTTTTGACAGGTGGTGGGTTTGTTTGTGGCTCTTGTCCGTCATTGGCAGCTTTTTCTCCTTCTTTACGCTTGCCTATATCGGTGTGTGCTTCATCCTCCTGGGACTATCAAATGAATGATCCGTGATGTCTTGTATGGGGTTTTATTGGTATTATTTGGTATATATCATGTAGCTATATGCAATGTTTGTATGACAGTTCTCCCTTCCCGATTTTGCTTTACTATTCGTTCAGGTCTGAATACATTCATGTGTCTTGTGACGTTTTATACTAAAGAAAGTTCTTTCGTGGTCGCAGGTTCAATCTTGTCGATAACACTTCCAGCCTTATACAGCAAATATGAAGAGACCGTGGATAGGTGTTGCGGAAAGATCCACCGGCAGTTTTCAAAGCATTATAAAATAGTGGATGATGGTGTTTTCAACAAACTTCCCAGAAATGTACCCAAGGACAAAGATTCGTAATCCGGATCATTTAGATTCAGACGCTTAGTCATCAATATCGTACTGTCAGGTTTGATATTTCGTTATAAAGTCATTGATATGTTGCATACTTCGCTGCCGCTTCCTCATACCAGGCCTGGCATAATTGTCCATTCTTTTCGTTCATGTTCCGTCATCTGTACGCTGCTTTGTAGTTGTGTTGGTCAGGATATGAAACTTGAGGTCTTCTTCAACGAGTGAACATTTCAATTGGCAATCTATGATATGCTTAATTTCACCATTTCGTTGCACGGTACAAGTCTGAAAGTTTTGCATCCAGATACAATGACATAAAGTTCGTTGCGGTTACAAGCATGGACGGAGCCAAAGAAGGCTCACGAGTGGCAGATACCCCACTCGAGTAATTCGTTTGTTTGGTTGCATACTACAATTATATAATCCATATAAGTTAACTTTGAAGAAGATATATGTATCAAATATCCAACATACATTCGTTCTACTTATACTCTATATCAAATGTTATGTGAGCAATAGTGCTCTTGTTCTATCATTCAAATCGAAAAAAACTCTCTTCCACCTATCATGTACTTATATTTTTCTCATCACTTTGCCACTTTCCACTACTATATTGAAATTTTTGTAACATTGAAATTGTGATACATCATCTTTTGAAATCATCCTTAATATTATATTGTGTATAACCATACTATATAATAAGGTTTTCTTAGTTGTTTTCGGTTGCCCCCACTAGAAGAAATTTCTGACTCTGTCCCTTACAAGTCAGAAAGTTTTGCATCCACATACAACGACATAAAGTTCGTTGCGCGGTACATGTTAGGCTCTGAACAATTGATTGACCTTGTTCACTGAAACACTGCAAACATCATCCGCGAACCAAACAAAGTGCACCTGCAACGAATATCGAATGAAAATGCCCGTGAGTTTTCAAGAACATTCAATTGATCAGGGGATTGATCGTATTAGTAAGGCCTTCCACAAATTCATCCATGAAAATGTAGGATACAAGCGTACATACCTCCTCTAGGTCATTCACAAACTCCTTAATTTTAGATAAATGTACTATGATTGCTTCATCGAACGGATATCTAGAATAATATGATAGTTAAGAAGAGATTAATCTGTCAGTCAGTCGCTTACAACTTAAATTAAGAAGTGATTAATCTAACAACAAGTCAATGTGATCAGATTTTAAAAACTGACGTCACTGGTGTTTTTATTTAACATTTAAAAAAAATGCGTGGATCAATTTGAGACAAAAACAATAGATTGAGGGCCAAAGTAAAACCACCGAAGATTTCAGGGACCAAATTTTAATTAACTCTTCATTTTTCTTCTTCTTCGTTCTCTCAGACACCACTAATCGAACAAATCCAGTCCTCCATTTACACAGGAGCCATGAGCAGGTCCCGATTGGATACAATCCTCTCCACATTCGTCGTGGTGCACCCTCACGAGATCTCAGCTCTCCTCCACTCCTCATCCTGCTTCTTCTTCGTAAGCTCTCCTAATTCTCCAGTCCCTTTGCTAAATTTCGAAAACTGTGTTGTTTTTCTTTCAGCTAGATTTTGATTTTCCCAGTGCAGATTTTGTGCGCTTACTTTGTAGTGCTCCCGCTGCGCGATGAGGGTGCAATTTCCTTAGGCCTGTCGAACCTGCCGAGCCTGTTTGTGGGGTCATTGGTCCTCACATCGATTGCCGCACCAGTTGCAACTCTCATCTTCTCTTTGCCCAACGTTTCGAAAGGCAAGGTATGTGTGTATTTCCGCCATTTTTTTTCGATATAGGGAGTTCGAAATTGTGGTAAAGATTTGATTATTTTCATATGGGGTGTCTCTGTAACTTTATAGTTTTGGTTCAAAGGCAAAAGCGTGTAGCTAGTTCATGCCAGATTTTGATATGCGTGTGTTTCCGCCATTTTACGACATGCGCAGTTCGAAATTGTTGTTTTTGTGATAAAAATTGATTCTTTTGATATGGGGTGCTTCTGTAACTTGATAACTTTTGGTTGAAGAGTAAAAGGGTATAGCTGGTTCGTGCCAGGTTTTCGATGTGTTTGTTTGCGTATCGCTCTGTAATAGTCGCTTCTTGAAATTCCAGGCTTTGGTTTTGATGCTCAGGTTTTTTAGTGTATCACTTGTTGCATTCATCTTCTTTCTATGGCGTGCTTCGTCAGCTGGATCACAAGCTGAGGTGAAGGTGAGATGATATCTCATTAGGGTACAGTTTGTTTCTGATTTGTTTGCTTTTTACACTCTTGAAATATGTTTGTATTTTACTGAATGGTTCCCTTGTGTATGGCTAGGGCTTGGTCAGTATAGACACCGCGTCAGTAAATGACGAAAAGGTTGTTGTTAATCAAGCTGGTACAGCATATTCTGTAGCATGGGAGAACCTTGGCCGGTTGTATGTCTCGGTCAGAATTGCATTGTTCCTCTGGGTATGATGAATATATCTAATTGCTTTTTTTTAATATCTGTTGGGATCTATTTCGGATATGTAAAGTAATTTGTTTATCAAACTTTATGTAGTGATAAAAATTTATGCTTTATTTTGAAGATTGCCCTACTTAATCTAATTACAATTTCCTCGACTTGGGCTAGAATAATCGATGTCATGGACTTTGAGGTATGTATCCTATCCCTGCCACACAAATGTGATTGCAATACGAATTTTTGTTACACTTGTAACTAGATGTGTATTCAGTCAGGTTCAAGATTATTTGGTTTTATTGGTGCCGGTGCCACACTAGGCCAGCTTTTTGGGTCATTGTTTGCGACGGGAATGGCTAGGTTGGGGCCATGTATGTTTTCTTATTCAGTCTTTTGGAATTTGATAGTACCTGCGTGTGATATGTCTTAAACCATGGATTGATTTGTTGCAGTTCTACTGCTATTTTCTGCTTTATTAATGGAGTTCGCTGCCCAGTCATCATCAAAAGGGATAACCCTGGATTTATCTCATTTCCCTGAGGAATTATCTCCCATCAGGTTAAATCATATTATCAATTTCATTTGGCACTGGAATCTGCAATATTGTTGCATGAAAAAACTAAATATTTTTATAAAGCAACAGACTAGAGTCAAGACACCGAACTCTCTGTTACAATTTGTAAGCGACTAGATACCAAAGAAGGAGAGTTGGATATCTATAAACTAGCTAGAGCAAGGGACAAGAAGACAAGGGACCTAAACCAAGTGAGGTGCATCAAGGATGAGGATGGAAAGGTTCTTGCTACAGATAACGCGGTTAAAGACAGATGGAAAGGTTATTTTCATAATCTTTTCAATGAAGGACATGAAAGGAGTGCTTCTTTAGGGGAGTTGAGTAACTCAGAAGAGTGTAGAAACTACTCTTTTTATCGTAGAATCCGGAAGGAAGAAGTGGGTGTAGCTTTGAAGAAGATGAAGCATAGAAAAGCAGTAGGCCCAGACGATATACCAATCGAAGTGTGGAAAGTTTTGGGAGAGACAGGTATAACATGGCTCACTAACCTTTTCAATAGGATTTTGAAAACGAAGAAGATGCCGAATGAGTGGCGAATGAGCGCTTTGGTGCCTATCTACAAGAATAAGGGCGATGTACAAAAGTGCATGAATTATAGGGGTATTAAGCTAATGAGTCATACAATGAAGCTCTGGGAGAGAGTCATTGAGCATAGATTGAGGCAAGAGACACGGGTTTCGGACAACCAATTCGGGTTCATGCCAGGACGCTCAACCATGGAGGCAATCTATCTCTTACGAAGATTGATGGAAAGATATAGAGATGGGAAAAAGGATTTACACATGGTCTTTATAGATTTGGAAAAAGCGTATGATAGGGTCCCAAGAGACATTCTTTGGAGGATTTTAGAGAAGAAAGGAGTACGAGTAGCATATATCCAAGCTATACAGGATATGTATGAAGGAGCAAAGACTACCGTAAGAACTCATGAAGGACAAACCGAAAGCTTTCCCATAACTGTAGGATTACATCAAGGCTCATCCTTAAGTCCTTACCTTTTTGCGTTGGTAATGGATGAGTTAACAGGACATATTCAAGGTGATATTCCTTGGTGTATGCTTTTCGCAGACGAATATAGTGTTGATAGATGAAANATATAACAAATCTTAGAATGCCACTTGATTCATTTAACTTTAGCATTTGCTACTTAGCATACAACCAACGTTCTCTCAATCTTTGCTTCACCGACTTAATACGTTTACATGCTCTGCTCTGGCTCAGAATATGCCAGAATATCTTCAATGAAAATGATATCAATTTATCAAGGCATTATTGGAATACTTCATCCATCAACTCATAAAACAGCATGAGTATCCATATAGCATCACCAAACTTCATAAAGACTATAACGAGTCCAGAAAAACATCTTATGATCAACGTCACTTATAATATTCAATTGGTAGTAACCAGATCTCAATTCAATCTTTGAATCTTCGCAATTACTTCTGAGCTGGTTAAATAAACATCAGTACACCACAATGGATAACGGTTCTCAATCGTTACCCGATTCCATTATATATAATCAATGAATAGTCTTTAAAGTCCATTTTCTTTCTCATCAACGAACTGGGGCTCCCCCAAAGCGTTGTACTAGGTTGACTAAAACTTTTATCAACCAATTCTCTCAACTGAATTTCCAATTCCCTTAACTCATCATGAACCAATCTCCAATATAAATTTATACCTGGCAACAATTCAATAGTGAACCTCATAACTCTGCCTGAAGGCAATCCAGGTATACTTTCAAGGAAGACATCAAGAAAAGTCTAACCCTTTTTTCATTTTTCACACTTCTCCGAGCATCATCCTTTAGTACCACATGAACTAAGTATTTTTGGGCAGCCTTTCAAAACAATCTCTTTGCTTTCACAGCATAAATAATGGCTGAACTCACTTCACTTTGCATACTTACAAAAGTAATCTCTGGTCATCCAGATCGATGGAAAGTACTGGTTTCCCATAACATTCCGTCTTGTCACAATTATAACCAACCAATCTAATGGAACATAATTAACTGATACAATATATATTCTATTATTATTAAGCATTCTAAATAAGTACAATACTAACATAAAATAATCTACCGGGTTACTTACTTCACGAATCCACGAATAAGTTATTAATATTACGGTCTGCAGCCCGCAATACTGATAAATCATCGTTGTCTCGATAAGTAGGCAACCACTCTCAAAGATATAACATTACTATTTTGTCACTCAATGCAAAATACATACACTCGTCTCAACTACATTTATTTACTACTCTCAAGTAATAACATACATAATAAGAAATATATCAGCCGAAGTCAACTAGAATGACCAATACGGCTGATTCAACTCTTATCTCAATAATACGTCGGCCGGATCCACTCCGCGTGGTCGGTACGGCCGAGCCTATAACTCACCAATTTCTCATGTGTCAATCGAATCCACTTCTCATGGTCTGTACGGCTGAACATATAACTCATCAAATCTCTCTGTACTCACGGTCAATCCGACCAAACTACTAAGTTCATAAACTTGCTGAATCGACACTATGATATCATGGAAAATTGTTGAGTACAACTGATTCTAGGGACGATTCACAATTCTGTGTCCCCTCTGTTCACATAAACACATTCATTAATTTCACACTTCCCAAAGTGTTAATTTTTGTACCTGCTGCACAAGGTACATTTCTTTTACTCGAGACACCTTGTCTCAAATATCTGGGATTACCAGTATATCCATCACTTTTACTCTGACCAACGACATTAAAACCTCAGTTGGAAGAATTAACTCTAGCTTCACTTCTTTCGAAGCTCTGAATCCTTCGATATTCTTGATATGACGAATCATTAACTTTATCGTCTTCTTTTAATTCCCATTCTTTTCTTATTCCTCTTCACTCTAGCTGATCATATTCTCAGAGTCCTCAAGACTCAACAACATCTCGTATATTCCTGGTAAGAAGTACAATGGATAGTGGTCACCCAAAATACCACTTCCCTTTTTGCCACCCAGCTTAAAACAACATAACACCTCCACCAAATTAACAACAATATCTGGATGGAACGAGGCAAGTCTGAAAACTTTCTATAATATCCCTCGATCATCACCTTCCTTGTCTCATATTTGTAAACTCTTGTTTACTACCATCGATAAATGCCGGAGGGATAAACTTTTCCTTAAACAAGTCCTTAAACAATTTTAAATCGGCTGATTCCTCTGGTGACAACCATTAACAATCCTGTTTCCACCAGGATACAAATTCATAACCAAAACCAGGTAGTCGTCTCGACCCCTTGTCAGAAGGAAGATTCCTTTGACTTGCATAATCCGAAACATCTTTTCCAAATGGTTAAACCGTTACTTCGCTCCCTCAGGTTCATCATTTCATAAGGTGATTCAAATTCGACTTATAACCCGTCTTAAAATGTCCATTTTGATAATATACTGAATCACCATAATAATAGTTTCCCCCAAACCGCTAAATCAGGGAGACTAAATTCCTCTAACTACGTGGTTTGCTACGAGGCGGTGTAGTTCTGACAGAATTCACTAGAACTTCTCAAAATATCCAAGATTGCAACCATGCTCTGATACCAACTGACACACCCCGTCCCGAAGGAGGGCATGCTGGCCGTCACGTGAGAGTGACGTAACCATTTGCACAATACGGAAGCTTTAAGATACAATTTAAGTTGATACACCCGAAGGTGAGTCCTAATTTTGTCCAATCTGTCAGAACACCGTCGAATTCCTCGTAGTCACCACACCTTTGTGATTCCTGAACCTGGAGGGGCGCAAAACCAAAATTGAGTGGGTCAGTAAAACAATTCTTTTCCAAATCCAAACATTTCTCAAAACGTTGTAACCCCTCTCCGTAAAACTTGTATACTTTCCCAGAAATGTAAAATATAAATATACATATATATTCTCAATACTTCAATTCATTAACTCAACATTTTTCAGTACAAATATGCCATGCCATGTCGGAATTCAACAGTTAAGTATGAATGCATCAACAATAATTATATCAGGTGCAAGAAGTAATCAACCGGAGGCCCTCTAATGGCCCTGTACGGTTGAACCTAGAGCTCAAAATCTATCACTCTCACTCTACCGGAGTCACCTCTGTGACCTGTCCGGCCTTCTGCACACAAGTTACGCTCTAGTGCTTTCTCATCAATCATCTGTGCACATAATCTAAGGTCACCCACCAGTCGAAATCTCACTAACACTCTTCGACTGGCCCGTCGCACCCACTCCGCGTGGACTGTGCGACCAGCATCTACTTGGATCCAAGGCGAGCGTGCGATGCGGTGAATACTATAAGCACTAAACCATGGTGCAGGATTTGAGCTTAATATACATCAACATCTTCATAACAGTAATTAAATACTCACCTGATACTTACCTGTGCGTCCGCCGCACCATTCATTCATATGCATCATATCTCAATTCATACTTTTCATATCATTTCATGCATGACAATTCGATTCACATTTCTATGTACTTTTCATATACTTTTATGCATGGCATCTCAATTCACATTTCAATATACTTTTCATATAATTTTATACATTGCATTTAAAGCATACTTTCATTAAATTTCAATTTCTGGGAAAACGTCAAGTATATATATATACGGAAAACAAAACTGCCCACTCACCTGGAGTTCGCCCTACAACTCCCTAGCACAATACGCCAAGGCGTCATGACGATCGGCGCCTAAAACAATAATCAATTCCAACCTCAGAATTTATAGTGATAGAATATATAACTTATATAAAATACGTCACTACGTAGTTCGATCCGGAAGATCCACCACTCATATTTTAAATCCATAACTTCCAGAGGTCCACAATATATCTCTAGGATAACATCCTAAAAATTTCATTACCATCCAACGGTCGGATCTCCGTCAATTTCCAAAACTAAGTGACGGTTAACATTTTATTTTATGAACTTACAATTCCAATTCCGGAAGATCCGTAACTCGGATTCCCAATCCGTAAGTTCTAATAATCCTCAAATATTACGTATTACAACGTATCAAAGTTTGGTAATGATCCAACGGTCGGATCATCAATTCACATTTTTACTTAATGCGAAAACTATAAAACGTTATTCGAACACCCAACCAACAATCCTTAATAACTTTCTCATACGGTGCTCAATTTGGGTATATGAATATACCACACTGATCTACTCGACGTCACGGATGTCGACATATTTGTAAAATAATTTTTACTGTAGCACGCGCCCCCACGCGCCAAGGAAGGCACGGACCTACGCGCCCCCACGCGCACCTTCTTCTTCCTTGGGTCGCCGGACTGGTTTTTCCGGCGGCCGTTTTTCAAATTGCCATAACTTTGTCATTTCTCAACGAAATCAAGTGATTCAAAAACTAAAGTTGTAGCCCTTGAAGAGAAAAAGATAATGGTACCTTGCACAACACCTAGTTCGCCGTGGTTTGGCCGGAAACTGCCTCGAAAGCCTCGGAGGTCGCCGGAAACTAGGTATTTTTCAAATGAGTATAACTTCTTCAATACTCAACGAAATTGAGTGAAACAAAAAGGAAAGTTGTAGTACTTGACGAGACGAAGAGATTGATACCTACCTCGACTCCTAACTCGCCGGGGATTCGCCGGAAAAGCCTCGAAAGCTCCGGCCAAACTTTGAACTTGTCGATCTCCGTGTTCTTACGTCCAAAAACTTCCAACGAAGCACTCCGAGCTTCCTTGGGACCTCACTAAGCTCGTTGTGATCTTGTTTTAGCCTAAATCGTAACCATTTAAAAGATGATGAACAGTACCATTTCACGGGAACTTTGAAACTAGGGTTTTCCGAAGCAAAACTTACCTGAAATGGATACCATCGTGATCGTGGAGGTTCCAGGAGTTTGATGGTGGTCTTAACTCCGTCGTTGGTGGAAGTTTAAGGTTGTTTTGTGGTTGGTTTGTTCGAACGGAGAAGAAGAGTGACAGAGAGAGTGAGAGAGTCGTGAGGGAAGAGAGAGAGACAACATGCAGAAAATAGGGAGATGATTGAGGGGTGTGGGGATCCCACGTGGTCCTTTTCCAATCCCCAACTCCAAACCACAAAATTATACCTATACTAAAACCCAAACTCGGGTGCACTGTTTTTCACTGTTAGTGAACAGTAAAATGGCTGAAATGCCCTCGGTTTCTTCTTTGTTCTGCTTACTGTTCACAATTTGATACAGTGGAAAGTCTATTTTGTCCTTCACGGCCTCTTATTAGCTTTGGTAGTTATTGGACAAAAAAATAAGATTAAAAAATGTCAGTGGTTCCCATCTGTCCCCCTCTCTCTCATCCCTCACGTCTCTCTCTCTCTCCTCATTTTCATTCTTTTCCGCCTGCATTTCTTTCTTTCTCAATTATTATCTATATACTAAAACCCGGTGGAAAACACTGTTCACGAGCAGTGTGATGGCTTAAATGCCCCTTTGTTTCTTCTTTGTTTTCCATTGTCTTATCTGCTTGGTACAGTTAACTGACTGAAATGCCCCTCATGTTAGTCTTTGCAGTGTGATTCTTTCCATTTTGTAGTGATTCATCGGGTTTGCCGTTTTTATCCACCTGTCCATCATCTGTGGTTCCTTCTCCATGCCGTTTCAGTGATATTTTTACCTAGCCCACGTGGTGATGTTAGTCTTTGCAGTGTGCTTCTTTCCATTTTGTACAGTGATTCATCGGGTCTGCCGTTTTTATCCACCTGTCCATCATCTGTGGTTCCTTCTCCATGCCGTGTCAGTGATTTTTTTACCTAGCCCACGTGTCGGTCATCGTGAGGTTTGGTTTTTAGTTTATACCCACTTTGCTTTTTGTTCAGTTTCCCATACCAAATTATGCATTTCTATCGTTTTGCAAGCTGTGCGTTTTCCTCTTCCTCTTTCCATTCTCGCCTTCGGTCGTCCCTTTCAAATCTCGGTCTGTGTCCTTTTCAGCTCTTCGTTTCTTCCCTCAACACCGTATCAGTGTAAGGGTTTTCAACTTTTGATTTTTCTTTTGTTTGAAACTGGAAAGTTTGATTTTGATAGATTCGAAAGAATACAAAAGTTAAATCTTTATTTGGGTGAATTTTTAAACCCAGTTTCTCTTATGGATTTTCATGGGTGGTTAAATTGAATATGGAGGTTTTTATGTGGTCTCAGATGGAAACAATTATAGAAGGGATGCAAGATATAAACGGCGTGGAATGTTTTCTATTAATTTTTTTCTTTTTTTTTTAAATCAATTTGGGGTTTTGTTTGGTTTTGTTAATTACGGGCTGTTGAACCCAGCAATTTGTCTACACAATATGTTTTTTTTTTTTTGGTTTAAAATTGAAGAGTCTTTGCCTTCCATCTGTTTTCTCTTTCTGGAATTTCCTTTCTCAGCGTTTTTCAAGCTTATGGTATATAATTTGTTTTTTTTTTTTTTTTTGGTTCATGATTGGTTTTGCAGGTTTTGTTTGTACAGAGAAGACGGTAACTTGGCTGGTGCACTGTCTGTTTTCAGTCGAGGGTGAGGTTTACTTTGTTACGTAGTTAATCTTAAAGTTGTCATCAGTTGTTTGGTCCATTTGTGATCGAAAAATTTGGGAGCATCTTTATCTGTTCATTTGTCATGTTTAAATTGGATTAAATTTTATGTTGTCCAAATTATAAGTTATGTTTTATTCTCATATATCAATTTGGTTGGCTCTTATGTTTATGATGGTTCTGATTCTGATATAGCAGTTCGATTAAATTTTAGGTTCTCCAAATTATAAGCTGCGTTTTATTTTTGATATACCAATGTGGTTGCCTCTTATGTTTATATATCAATTTGGTTGCCTCTTATGTTTATGATGGTTCTGATATAGCAATTTGATTAAATTTTAGGTGGCTGAGAAGTGTTGCACTGCTCCAGATTCCTTTTGTTTAAAACCTCTCAGGTCTTACAAGTTCTTATTGGTTATTTTTCCCTTCTTTTTTAGCGTGCGTTTTTAACTTTTAATTTTTTTTGTTGGGTTGTGTCATTTGATTTAGTTCTTTTTTATTTTCAGAAAGCGATGATTGTCGTCCTGCGCTCTAGCAACTATAAAGAACACAGCTTTAGGTACACTTACTCTCTGATGAAAATCTCAAGTTTAAGTCTTAATTGATTTTTGAGTGAAGTGTTTTATGGTTTTGTTGATTTGGCTGGTATGTTTTCATTTGTTTGATTAAAATTTAATTTGGGTTATTAGGTATTTCTTGATTTGAATGATTTCTAAATGTTGTTTCTCCCCCAGTTTATGATATGGATAACTGTAGTTGGATAATAGTATGAGCTCAGTTATATTCTTTGAACCAATGACGGCTATTCAATTTTTTTTTTCTGTGTCTTTTTGAACTTTCATAAGTCATTGAATTTTTCTTAATCAATATTTTGTTTAAGTCTTTACTCCTGCATAGTTATCAAATTTTGATTTAAGTTAGCTTATCTTTCCTTATTTATCTACATTACTTGCACAAGATAGTATTGTTATATAACTGATGTCTGAGAAATTAATATTTTTACTTATTTAATCATTTCTTTTAAGACTTAGCGATGAATAATCTCTCCATGTTAACAATTTAATATATGCATACTGATGAATAATATCTATTTTTTTCCGTTTATTAATCTCCTTTTTAACTTTGTTCGTTTTTTTCCCCCCTTTTTTTTTTGGATTCACTTTATATGCATAACCAATAGTAAAGAAACATGCGGTTCAAGGCTCCACATCGGACATTGACTACGAGACTACAGCTTAAAAATTGAACCTGGTGGTAGCTATGAAATCACAAATTTTCGGACCACTAGAATGAAGGGCCAGTACAATGTGGTGCCGCATGAGACTCAGCTTATATTCAGTGGTAAAACAAATTTCAAAAAGCTCTCAAAATGTGTTTCCACCTATTCCTCGACACCGGTTTTTCCTACAGGATTACAACATTCTTTATCCCCACTTGAACAAAGTTGACATTCTTACAGGTAATAATATTATATATGTATCTATATATAGAGATTAAAAACACTAAAGTTTATTTTTGCCAAATTATTTTTCACAACATGCTTATATTTACCTTTTAAATTGGAAGATGTCATTAGTCATCTCACTGCAATACAACATTTAGAGCCAAAACAGATTAATCAAAGGGTAGCATACAAGTGTGATATACACATTCAAAATGTCAGGTTATTCCTTTTTTCTTATCACTCTCATTATAGATTATCTTCATAATTTGCTTTATATTGAAAAACATGTATATATTTGTTTCTGATTTAATATATCTACAGAAGGGAACAACTCACTGTTACACTATGGGGAGACGTCGCTGAAGAATTTTGTTCTTCATCTGTCCAAGCACTGCCTCTCCCAATTGTTGTCATTTTTACAAGTTTAAAAGTGAAGCTTTATCTAGGTACTTAACTTAATTAGAAGCAATCTTTCGTATCTTTATTTATTATTATTTTTTAACACAGCTTTGTGTAAATTGTTCAAATCTTTTCTGATGACATAATTTTATCATATTCACTTCGTGTGACTTATCATATATCTTTGTTTTATACTTGATTAATTAATTTTTAAATATCTTAATAAATTGATTGTCAATCACTGTTTTTAATTAACTTTCTCTTTTATTTTCAGCTTTTTAAAACTTTGTCCATTTAAATTAAAGTCATGGTTCAGTAAGTGATTGTATCATATCATTCTGATACTTGGCCTGTGTCAGTAAAACCATTTATCAATATTTTCTTTCAACTTTCTTATCATTATTTTCAATGCACAGATAAAATTGTGACGAACAGTACAGATTGCTCACTTCTCCTTTTTGATCCAAACATCCCAGAAGTTAATGCATACAAGTCGGTGTAAGTATTTCTATAGCTTTTAACACAATTAAACTCTTTTCACTGTTGTAAAAGCAAAAGAAATATTAGTTTCATAAAATTATTCAAACAGTTTTACATTTTCAATCATACAGGTATGCAAATTGTAACGAGCCTGTGAAAATATTGGCCCCCTTCTCCAGACAAGTAAATGAGGCTGAAATTTTACGTACAACCAAGATGTTCACAATTGATGAAGTCGCTTTTCTAGATCTTGATTTACACAAGGTATAAAATCTAATTACATGTTTTTAACTCATCTTAAAAACATATGATTGCACTTTTACATTTTTAATAAACATTGTCTACATAATTAGTATTCCTTATACAAAACTATTACAAACTGTTTTGCAGAATGATACGTTTTTCTGTAAAGCGTGTGTCAAGTATTTTGACACACGTTATCAATGGTGGTATAGTGCGTATGCCAACTGTGTAAAACAAATGCATAAAGACTTGACAACTGGACAGCTGATCTGCCAAAAGCATCCAAACCAAATTCCAACTCCTTGGTAATGTTTAACATGCATTCCTCAAACTTTGTCTTAAATATTTGTTATCCTTATCTTTTATTCTTTCTTTATATAATCTAACATTTACCAAATCTGTTTTTTCACATTTTTCACATTTTTTCTCATATTTGTATGCACATGGTTTGAATACATTTATCAAGAATGAAATCAGGTCAGATATCCTCACCCTCCTTGATTAGTTTTCTCGCTGTTTTTCTGCAGCTGTTATCCAAAACTTTGTTAGAGTGATACTTAGCTTAAATTTTGTGATGTTAAACAAAAAATTCCAACCTTTCCTGCTTTCACGTTATTTAAACAACTTTCAAATACTATGTGGTCAACAATTAAATCATTGTTCAAAACATACTCATTGCAGCACATATTTACCCTTTTTGTACAAAATTGGTATAGCTTTTGCACTTTTGACCATGTTATCTTTCATTACTTAGTGACTACAATCTGCTTCTTTTTGTTTACACTTGAGTATATGTGAAGACCATAACCAATATGGCTATCATAAATCCAAACTATTAATTAACTTAATAACCATGAATTTCGTTGTAGATTTAAGTTTAAAAACAAACATTGATTTTTTGTGGTTTTATCAATGCTTTCTTCTGTTTTATATTTATTTGTATAAGTTGAATTCAAGATTATTTTTCCCTCAAGCAGTTTTGTTTTTTTTAATCTAGGTATAAAGTCAATTTGGTTCTTGAGGATCACACTAATGAAATCAATGCTCTCATAATTGGAAAAATCTGGTGAAAAGCTTTTTGGTGTGCCATGTAAAGATTTAGTACTGAATCAAAGATTAGTTGGCCAACAACAGTTACCAAACAAGTTATTTAAATATAGTTTTTTTATTTTCTGCAACTAGGTTGTTTTTGACAGTGGAGAACCAAAACTTCATCTGGTGCCCTCAAAAATATACAGTATGGTTCATCAGCATATGTAAAAAACTCTTCCGGATGTTTTATGGCATGCAAATAACTCTTTTTACTCAAAACTTATCAATATTTTTGCATGTTCGTACACCAGCACTTATTAATATTTTGTATATCATTGCTGGTTCTGGTTAAAAACAACTACAACTACCAGGCTGTTAGATGAATGTAATATTTTTTGCATGTACATGGACCAGCATTTTGTAATTTTTTGTATCCAAGTGCTGGTTTCAGTAGAATGATAGCTATAACTACTAAACTATGACAAATGGATGTAATATTTACCAATGAAGTTGTGCATATTTAACTGTTTATCTCTATAGTGTTTCTAATATTTCTGTTATCAATGGTATTAATATTCTGTTACACTGTTTTTAAACCCGCGGCAACGCGCGGGCATTATACCTAGTTTTAACCTAAAAATCTAAGTTCCATCCTTATTAAATTCCATTTTATTTTCAAAACTTAGGAACCTAGATAATTATCAACTTGAGCTTCACATACTTAGTATTTCTTAAGGGCAAATTCGTCCATTCACAGCCACGAATGTAATATTTTGGAACGGGCTGTGATAGTTATTGTATAAATTACAATAATATAAATATAAGTTTGTAAACTTACCTTAAATATGGAACCCTTTGTGTTCAAGCTTTGGAATAGATCTGGAATGGCTTTGAAAATGGTAAGGGAAATAAAATAATAAATAACATTAAACATATTAAAATAATCCTAGGGAATAATTATACAACATTACTTAATTACTTAAAAAAAATTAACATGTAATTGTTAACATTACTTAATTACCTACAAAAATTAACATGCAAGTATTAATTAGTTAAAAAAATTAACATACGAGTCCATACAAATTTATTTGTTGTTGTATACATTACAATAATATAAATATAAATTTGTAAACTTACCTTAAATATAGAACCCTTTGTGTTCAAACTTTGGAATGGATCTGGAATGACTTTGAAAATGGTAAGGGAAGAAGAATAAACGAAATTGCTCTGAGGGAATGCCTCTGATACTCCAACTCTCATAAGGTTTTGCACATCCTCTGAGGGAATATAAGTATATAACAGAGAGTGGAACATGGTTTTGCCTGTGAAAGCATATCACAGACTCACAGTGATACACGGTTTCATTATTAAAGTTCTAATATTTGTTGTCCATTATCTGCAATTGTAAAAAGTGATTGAAAAATTAGTGAGGTGAGTCAGATGAGGTCAATCAACCACAGAGGCACACACACAGACATGCTATTATTCGTTGTCCATTGTCTACAAATGTAAAAAGTGATTGAATAATTCATGAGGTGAGTCAGATGGGTCACTCAATCACAGAGGCACACACGCACACAGACGTGCCATCACACACGCACACAACACACGCACACATATCACACACGCATACCGCACTCTCTCTCTCTCTCTCATTCTCGATCCTTCTCTCATCTTCTCTGAGTCGCGCCGGACCTCTCTTCTCCCCCTTCTCCATTCGACCCACACACACCCACACACATATCTCCATCCTTCTCTCTCTTCTTCTCTGAGGCGCATGACCTCTCTTCTCCCCCTTCGCCTTTCGACCCACACACACACAGATCTCCCCCTTCTCGATCCTTCTCTCTTCTTCTCTGCCCTCGATCCTTCTCTCTTCTTCTCTGAGGCCTGACCTCTCTTCTCCCCCTTCTCCATTCGACCCACACACACACAGATCTCCCCTTTCTCCCACTCTCTCGATCCTTCGCTGCCGTTGATCGTGGGTCTGGCGAAGTGGAACATGGCTCAGTCGTCTCAGGTAAGATTCCATTGAAACCCTAACTTAGATGTGTTGAATCGTTGATGCATGCGTGAAATTTGAGGCTTATATGTGAAATTTAAGTTAAAATTCGTGTTTTTGCAAGGTTTTGGGACGAAATGGGCTCGGGAACAGGCACACATCTCCGGCGTTCTTCTCCGGCGTCCGATATTGGAGTCCGATTGCCGCGTTTGCCGACATTTCTCGATATTTCCAAAATATCGCGATATTATCGATAATATCGATAATATCGCGATATTTGGCCGAAAACCCCACGGAAACCAGTTTAAATATCCATGTCCCGAAAAATCGATATTATCGGCGAAATATCGCCGATAATATCGATATTTAAATCTGTGGTCAAAACCAATGTGAGGTTTTATCACAAAAGAAAACTTCGGTATTAATTGGGATTCTTCAGGCCCAACAACTCCAGTAGTTCCAGGTATGTCGGAATCTGGTATGCAAACAGACCTGAAAAAAAAAACAGTTGTTTGGGTGGCGTGGCAAACAGAGACAACCCCATCAACGATAAGTTCCGGAGTTGTAGAAATTATGTTGTTGGGAACATTTCGATTTGGTCCACGAATGTCTGTCCATGTCCAAACCAGAAGCACTTGTGTAGCTCAGCTTTTAGATTCTGGAAATTTTGTGATACGACTTTAGTGGCCATTGATAGATGACTAATTTCTAATTTATGTGGATTGAATTCAAAATTTCAACGGGGTAAATATAGGCTGTATTTCACACGATACATCCTCAATTTGATTTCTGGCCTGATGAATTGCATCATGATGGCTAAGAAAATGCTGAAATGTCTTTGTAAATCTTTCCAATCAAGAAAGTATGAATTGCCGTCACAAAGCCACCAACTAGTCTTTTTAAAAATAAAAAGTTAAAAAAAGGGAACTTTAACGAAAAGCGTGCTGTACTGTTCACTTCGAAAAACCACATTTTTACACTAAAAAGTCAATCCTTGTATTATTCAATTTACCCTTTATTTGGTCATTTTCGTTAAAATTCAAAGTTTTCAACCCCTTTTCATTAGTTTTTCTAAAAAAAAAGAAAATATAATGAAAATAGCTTCAAATTTTTACATTTTAATAAAAAAAACATCCACTAACTTTATTTTAATAATAAAGACAAAAGACTAATAAGAAAAAAAGAAAAAAAGAAAAAAAACCTAACAAACCCAACTACTTTTTCCTCCTATCTTTTTGTCCCAACGTCAGCTACATTTATGGGTTTTTTATTTTAGCTTAGAATAAGAAAAATACTTCGAATTGAATTACATTCTCCTATTTTATTTTTGTAGTGTTATTTTCCAATATTAGTCATGATGATGAGAAACTTTTCAATGTGCCCAGAACACGAGGTGATACATTTTATACAAATTGTGAGATTCTTATGTTAAAAAATTAATAACATAAAAAATAAAAAAATTTACCACTTATATAATAACATTTGGTATACCATTTGTGTTATAGACACAAGAAAAAATTTCTCCAAGATGACACCCAAGCTCAAGAAATTGGATGGAGAGCTACATTATTATTGTAGGTATATGAAAAAAAGTAAGGAAATTTTAATTTGATAATTGAAAACAACTTTTTAAATATAATTACTAAGAACATAATCTTCTCAAGGTTTTAATGTAAAGAGTCACTTATGGGTTCATCGTTTTCGGCACAATTGGTATTTTTTACAGGACCAAAAAGGGTTCAAGTTTCAAACCTTATGAAATTGAACCAAGAATTAAACATTATTTATGAAACATGACCAATAAGTAGACATTATTCATAAAACTAGACCAATAAGTAGACACTATTTATGAAACATGACCAATAAATAGACACTATTTATGAAACGAAAACAAGAATTAGGTATTATTTCCAAAACTAAACCAATAGGTGGAAACTATTTATGAAATTGGACTATATACTATTTATGAAAATGGAGTAAGAACTAGATAATATTTATGAAACATGACCAATAATTAGGCCATATTTATGAAAGTGGACCAATAATTAGACACGATTTATGAAACTGAACCAAGAAAAAGATACTATTAATGAAACTGGACCCAATAACTAAGCATTATTTATAAAACATGATCAATAACTAGACATTATTAATGAAAGTGGACAAAAAACTAGGCACTATTTATGAAATTGGACCAATAAATGGTATAGTACCGGTTAGTTTCATAAATAGTGCAGTTTCATAAATACTTTCAGTTTCATAAATAGTGCTTAGTTTCATAAACAGTGTACACGTCCTGGGCGTCAGATTTTTTTTTTTAATTGTGCCCTTTTCATTAAAAATTAAATTTTTTTTTGTCCTTTTTATTAAAATTTAAGGGTTTTTCATTAAATTTTGATTCTTTGTCATTAAATAAAGTTATAGCATGATTTTTTGTTAAAATAAACATAGCCCAAGCCCTTTTTATTAAAGTTCCTTAAAAAAATGGCGGAATTTTAGTGAAGGACAAAATGGGTTGTGTACCAAATGCTGGTATTAGTATGATTTCTCCAAGTCATTAATTAATTAAGGGATCTTTTGATAGAGGCGCCTCAGTTTTGAATTTTTTAGATCAAACATCCATGCCTTTTAATGATTTGATTAAACTTTTT